TACGAAACAAAAGAACCAATAAATACAAAATTAACCATTCTATGAAACAAATCAAGCAAAACTAACTTTTACTTAGCAGAAACAATAAGTGAGTATTTAAGTGACAAACTAATTGAAAACAACTTGAAACAAGTCTCCCCTGTCAGTCTTTCAAAAATGGTACGGTCCAGGTTTCCTTCTCCAGCTGGTTAGCATCAGCAGCACCTGAAACAAAAGAACTAGTGTAAATAAATAAACCATTCAAACAGACATTAACTAAAGTGTGCACCCATTAGAAAATACCTGTCTAAAAGAAATAACCAACTTAAAAATAAACTGTAATAATATAATATAAAGCAAGAAAAAAAATACTAACACGATGTGGTGGTGGGAGGATCATCCACCACAACACTTCTTTGATTTTATTTATTTTGCTCAGGCTAATCGTTAGCACACATCCCGCTAAATGTTGAAAGGACAATATTATTGGCTTTAGTGTTAATGTATAGTAGATTATTTTAAAGATTTTTTTTAAGAAGGGGGATGCCACCCCCCCTCAACTCGTGTACTGCCTGTAGACGTATTTCCCTCTCACGGTGCAGCACAGCTGCTCTCGTTCACAAAATACTCTGAGCAACATAAACTCCTCCCATTTCATCTTAGACTGGAATGTTGTTACTTAATTTAACTTTGAATTAGGATTAAACACTACAACACTGGAAAAAATGGAAATCTAGATGTCATTTTTTCTTAAAATAAGTGCATTTGTTCTTGAATTGAGGAGGAAAAAGAGACATTTTGCCAATGGAACAAGACAATTTACATTTAAAATAAGAAAATACAATTGCATTGTCTTATTTCTAGTGCATTTTATCTAATTATCTTATTTTAAGAGTAAAAATACTCATTCCATTGGCAAACTATTTCATTTACCTACTCAAATTAAGATTAAATACACTTAATTTAAGAAATCTTTACTTATATCTAGATCGCTTTTCCAGTGAAGGTGATAGGATTAAAGAGAAAACAGATAATTATGCAAATAATGGTAAAACCATAAACCATTAAAATGATATGTAGCAGGAAAGACAGTTAATATAAGATCTTTAAACTGGTATAATATCTCTGAATTTCAACAAGTTCTGTCAAGGTGAAGTGGAGGTTTTTGAGGAGCCAAATGCAGAGGTGAGTTCTTGTAGTATTTCAGTAGTTTAATGGAGTTTTCAACAGGCAACAGAGGCAGGAATTTAAAAAAACATAAAACATAAACTGCATAACATAAAACTGCAAAATAAACCAGAACCATGGAGATATGACAGAAAACATGCATGAGGAGCTGAGTAAAGAAGAGGAACTGCACAGGGAGAGTATTTATGGGAGACTGAACAAAGACAGGACTAATGAGCTGATTGGGAGCAGGTGTGAAGAGAGGCTTCTAGAAGGAGTTAGGAGAAAGGAGACCAACACAGGAGGGCAAGCAAAGAAAAACCTAAGAACTCAAATATATCCAGAAAACACAAATAGAGCTAAAAAACAAAGAAAAACATGGATCAACGTGAAAACCTAACATAAACAAGACTGTGACAGATATATTATGTTAGTATTTGACTAAACAAGACATTTTTTAACCTCAATAATGAATCAGATGGTAAATTCTTGCTAATATAAAAATGTCCTTAGCTCTATATGGGTTATTTATTCTCCAGGTGCACAATTCAATATTTATAGTATTTTATTGTTTAACTTTTAACTCTTCACTATTATGTAATTCTTATACGTAAAGTCCGCATTTGTGTGACAATTTTTTCTATAATCTTTTTGCTGCAGTAAACACCAGAATTTCCTCATTGTGGGACAATAAAGGCCTTTTTTCTATTCTATTCTAACACACAAAATATGAGCAATCTCTGTTTTTCAAATAGTTTTTCTGCTTTCAATAATCGTTTGTTGTCTCAAGCTCCATTAATGAAGGGATATTTTTAAATGGTAAATGTATTTATATAGCGCATTTTCAAATCAGGAGACTTGACCAAAGCGCTTTAAACTACACTTTTATTTGGGGGGAAGGTTATAAAAAACATTTCTGACACTCGTGCTTTGAAAACTCTACAGCATCACAGCTACGATTGCCTGCAACATGGATCTGACCAAATACCCCATGGACAAACAGGTGTGCACCCTGCAGCTGGAGAGCTGTGAGTACTTTCCCTCCACCAACCCTCTATCAACTATGTGACTGACCACAGATCAGCCTTCCATTAGCTCTGTCATTTTCCTCTTCATCATCATCCTCATCATTGTTGTTGTGAGTATTAATTTGTGTAGGCACTGCGTTGCTGTGCAGATTTGATGCTATAACTGGTAGTAAGAGTTTGTGTGCTGCATGTTCAGGGGGCTATAACATACAGGACGTGGTGTTCTACTGGACAAGAGGGAATGATTCAGTGAAGGGTTTGGACACCCTGCGGCTGGCTCAGTACAGCGTGGAGAGCTACTACACATCAGTGTCGGAGGCTGTGTACGAAACAGGTACAGAGCGGAGTCGTGGCGAAGCAAAGATGTTTGCAATACATCATGGTTATGTGCTTAGAGAACTGCATTGTTTTTTATGTCGCAACACAGGTCATTACCCCAAGCTGGTGCTGCATTTCTCCCTGCGCAGGAATGTCCTGTTCTTTATCTTGGAGACGTATGTCCCCTCCATCCTGCTGGTGGTTCTCTCCTGGGTGTCCTTCTGGATCAGCCAGTCATCAGTCCCAGCTCGAACATGCATTGGTCAGTAGTTTCAGCTTATTAAGATTCTGTTACACCAGGCAATCCTCTGAAGACCCCAGCAAGTTTAATTATGCTGAAATGAAAATGGGGGAATTAAAGGAACCACGCAAAACAGGAAAAAATGTTGCTAGGGTGATGGGAAAAAGGTTTGGATTTCTTTGTTTGTTCTTTGTATTTTGACAAGCTTGGGCTTATAATTACCTACCGAATTAAATTCCATTTTAGGCTGGTTAGTTGTAATTATATCCTTACATGTTTGATGCTTTGAAACACTGGAATTTTTTCTCCAGTCCTTGTGAGTCTGTTCCAGCTTCATTACAGTCGGTTGGTTCTGCTGGACAGAACAAAGACTGAAGTCTTCAAAACAGCTCAAATGAAACAAGCATGGGATGCAAAGTTATATTCATATTGTATTTAACCTAAAAACATCTTGTTTTGTTTGCCAAACACCTACCTGTGGCTTTGTGTGTTGATAACTGAGGGCTGCGGTGACAGTCTGCAGTGATGATAAAACCAAATTTTTACCAAATATCTTGGTGGATTTAAAGATGGCTGACGGTGTCATTCGATAAGGTGGAATAAAAACTGTTTCACTATAGATCTATTTGTATATGGTCTAAGAAATTACCTGTGCTATTTAATTCAATTCAGTTCAGTTTATTTCTATAGCGCCAATTCACAACAAATATCATCTCAAGGTACTTTTCTAAATTTTTTATCCAAGGAAAACCAGTTGATTGCATCGACTCATTGACTCGAAGGCAATCCCTCACACTAAGCATGCTTGTAGCGACAGTGGAAAGGAAAAACTCCCTTTTAACAGGAAGAAACCTCCAGCAGAACCAGGCTCAGTGTGAGCGGCCATCTGCTGAGGCCGACTGGGGTTCAAGGAGACAGAAGCATAGATACAAAAGACAGCTGTAAAGGCGGCCCCGTCCAGGAAACACACAGACAGGCAGACGAGCTCCGAGCCAGCTCCCATGTCAGAGGATGAAGAGAGCACATCCAGTTAGTCACAGTCAGAGAAACAGGACTACACTGAAAAACAGGCCGATCTCCAACATCTTAAAACAAAGGTGTTGATGGCAGCAGCACAGCTGATATTTCTCTCCAGGATGGAGTCACAGCCAAACAGGAACAGGAATCTATCCATCAACTGGGACATGGAAACCACAAAATAGGCTAAAGTCAGAGGCAACCTGATTTTTTTTTTATTTTGTTTAAGAAGGAAGCCATCTTTGTTAAAACAGAAAAGCCATGACTGAACAGAGAAGGATGATGTAGTTTCAGCTTGCAATCATCTACTGATTGGTCCTAGAATTCATTCTGCAGAGGTTTCCCAAGCGCTCATCATGATTCAAATGGCCAAACACAAAACAAATACACAAAAAAGACGACGGACGGGTCTTTGTCTTTGATCTGACTTGAAAAATATCAGCACTCCAACTAAAGATTGCTCGACTCCACTGCAAGCTGACCGAATTGGTAAAGACAGCCTGATTGTTGTTGAATGTGATCAGAAAACAAAGTCTGGTCGCCTCCTGTTGTGACTATGAGAAAGTTTATTTTCTTCAAGAAGCAAATCAGTTAATTTGACATTTTTCCCAACATTCTCCAAGAAGTTTTTTTGAACATAGTTTCTAAATAACAAAGAGACAATGAATTAGTATTAGAGTTTTACGTCCATTGCTGAATGTATTAGTGGAGCAAAAGCTGGAGTCTGAGCCGCATCAAGGGCATCATAACCGGCTACGTGTTCCGGCAAACAACAGAAAGCCTGGCAGCCTCTAACTAGGCAGCAGAGGTTATATGTAAGAAAAGCACCAATGAATGGATCTCGTTATCTGAACCAGAGGCACCAAACAGAAGACCGCTCATTAAAGTAACCGTGCAAAGTTGACTGGATGAAGAAACAGGAGAAATGGATCAGTTTGTCAGTGCAGTATTGCTTTTAATGGGCTGTGTGCACATATGGAGGTATTTTTTATATCAGATGTGACTGTGGACTTTTCTTCTTTATCGCCTCTTACATGTGATGTTCAAGGCAAAGCTGCATTGGTTCATGAATGTATGGGCTTCTAAAGATTAGGTTGAAATATAACATTCTATTTTCCTACTGTAGCTTTTCTTAAGGCTCATGTTCTGTTTGCTTCATGGTGTTGCAGACCTTTAGGTCTGTCCTAACTAGTGCTGCACCGATGCCATTTTTTGGCCCCAACACCGATACCCGGCTGTGCAGTATCGGCCGATACCGAGACAATCTGTTTGAAATTGATGTGTGTGTATATATGAAAAACTGTAGACTACTTGGATGTAAAATAATTGCCATCATGGCTTTGTCAAGCTGCTGCCTACCTTTGTGAAGCAGGAAAAAGACTACCGCATTTTCGCGACTATAAGGCGCATATAAAAGTCTTTTTTGTCCCTCAAAATGTGTGGCGCGCCCTATGTGTGTTGTTACTGCGGACGTTG